TTGACCCGCTCTGGAAACGCCGCTGCCCGCGTCGCTGAGCTGCTCCAGCCCCTGGCGGCTCTCCCTTCCCACCGGTTATCTCCTTCCCTGCATCCTTGCATGGTTTCATCTTTAAATGACACAAGCCCTCTCCTTTCACCCTTTCCCAGCATAAAAGTGTTTTCAGAAGTTTTCATATAATTTTTTCACCTTTTATTTTACTCCTCGATTACTATTTGTCGCTTTTCTTCCCTCCCCTTTGCAGCCATTCCAGCCAGATGGCTTTCCAGGCTTGGCTTCCCCTGCCATTGCCGAAGCAGCTGGTGGTGTTCGGGCTGGGCGACTGGAGCTGTTACTCTGCGGACACGAGCATCGCCGTGGATGTGCTGGTGTCCCCAGGCATTGCCCCACAGCGGGTCGGCACGCTGGAGCCCACCCGCAGGTCACAGCAGGAGGGGCATCCTAGAAAAGCTTTCTGATCTCTGGTGCTGCCTGGTTCTGCTGCTGTTACCCAAATCCTGCTGGTCCTCCACCATGGTGTTTCCCTCTAGTTGTGGTTCCTTTTGGCTGCTTTCAGGACTGGATCTCTTTTGGCTTTGGGCTGTTATCATCTAGTATGGGAGCAGGAATTTTGTCCTGGTCAGTGTCACTTGTGGGCTGAAAAGCCATGGTCCCTTGGGCAGGTCTCTGGTGTGGGAAGGCAACTGGAGAACAGATCTTTTCATGGCCTCGTTGAAAGAGATGGACAAAGGCAACCCTGTGAGGCTTGTTCTGACTGTCAATGGACAGGTAAAAGAACTGACACTCCTCTCTTCTTGTCCAGGGTCCCAAATGCCACTTCTGAGCCCCAGAATCTCCCTTTTTGCTCTCCTTTTCCTTCTCTACTACTCCAAAGTAGAGCTGACATACATGAATCTGTTAATGCATGTCTGTGCTGAACCTGAAAGCTCTGTGATGCTCCAGGCCTATCCTCTGAACACATTTTTGCCAGAACACCTTGTGTGTGGCAGGAGACAGGCAGCCAACAGCTGTTCACTTCCAGTCCCACTCTCTCCTGGGTCTTTGGCACTTACATAGCTGTTTTACCTAGAGCTGAAGCCACTGCATTTAGCATCTTACAGTGCCTGGCTTTTATTTTCCTTGCTTGTTTTGTTGGTGTGGGAGATGAAAGGCAGATTATTCGTTGCAGAGAATCTGTCCCTTGCAGGACATGATTTTGCTCTTCCTTTCTGTGGCTGGAGGATAATGCACTAAGGATTCTGTTGCTGTTTCTGCTGCAGCTGCTCCGAGGTGTCTCCAGCAGTACACCTGTCCATCCCTTCCTTGTACCCGAGACCAGCCAGTCACCAGTGCTTCCAGCAGATGATAGGGCCCTTGGCCAGGACCTGGAGGATCCTACTGAGGTATGGCTATTTTGGAGTCACTTTTCACTTTTTCCTTAGTGTCTTCTCCCTCACCAGTAGTGATTCAGTTCATGTCTAGCTGAAACATTTGCTGCCATTTTTTTGGTGGAGATATGGATAAGCAAGTTTTGGAGCCAAAGTTTCTCTTGTGCTGAAGAAAGATATATTCTCCATTGAAATGCCTTTTTAAATGTTGAATATAGTAATCCTTGGTGGGATGGTCAGCTAGCCCCTTCATTCCCAGTACAGATAGGCTTTTTGCCCTTCCATGTTTTAGCTGTGCCCAGCAGCCAACAGTCTGAAAGCTGACTACAGCACAGAGCAGCAGATAGCTGCACTGCTCAGCATCTGTTTGGCAGCTAATACTGATGGCATGTTCACCCTTAAAGCTCAATGGGAAGATGAGCCTAAGCACAGTTACCACATCTCTGGCCCAGTAAGATGCAATTCACAGTAGCCTCAGGTATTTTTCTTTGGGGCTGATTTGGCTGGGGCTCATGTCACAGGTTAAGAGTCAGAGCTCAGAGGTGGCTGCCAGAGCATCCAGGCCTGTGAAGGAGGACATCCGGCCACCGCTGAGGACCATGGTGGTACCCTGTGCTCTGAAGCCCCCAGCTGGAAAGGTGGAATCCAATGAGGCCTGGAAGAAGAGTCCTGACCAAGGACCACCACCAAGAGTCCACTCCAAAAAGCCCAGAAAGGTTTTATTTGAACCCACAACATCTGAGAGAGATCTTGATGAAGAAGGTAATTCTGGTAGCTTCCAACTTTATTTTACAGATCTTGTCTGAATGATCTATCAATGCTGCTGGGCTGCACCTTCCCATTCCATTTCTCTATGTACCAAGGCATGATGGGCTTGTATGTCTGGCTTTGAAATACTGAGAATGCACTTTATTTATTTAGCTGCTCAATGAGTTTTTGCCTTGTTGGGAAAAGGCTAGAAATGGACTGTGGGGTATAACATCTTAGTGCCACCACTTTTTACTCTGACATAATGCCTATCTTTTCATACAAGTAAAAGTGTTTTATAAACTAAGGCAAATATTGTTAACCTCGTTTTACACAAGAGTAACTGAGGCACAAGAAAGTTACCTTCTGTAACCTCTGCATTAGTCTGTTTGTACCCCTGCTAATAGCATACCACTTGGTGTATGGAAGACACTGGTTATTAGTATAGTATAGAGAATATGAAAAGGAATTGTACTGACTTTTGAGTAGTGAGAAGGTAACTGCCAAAGGGTTTGGAAACAAAACCTTAGGCTTCTGGAGTGGGAATTCCAAGTCAACTCCAGAGCGTGACCAAGTTTATGTGTAAAGGTTTGGCAATAACTTAGTGGTTCCCATAAGAAATTACTTATTAGGACTTGCCTTACTTGTCATAAAGGCAAATATAGCTTCATCATAAAGTTTTCTCTGCTGCAGGCAGCATGAGAAGGGGGGAAATGATCTTCTATCAGAGGGGTAAAATGCAATGGTGACAGTATTTGGCAGTCAGAGGAAGTGTGCCCTGCTCTTACCTATTTTCTTCAGATGAGACTTAATTCATGATTCTTGGTCTTGCACCTTGTTTGTTGCAGTGAGGTAGCTTTGTGCTGGAGGTTGGAGGAAGGAAGGTCAAAGGGCTCTTACACAGTGGAGCTGAGCACTTTTCACAGTATGTCTGCTGGCTGCTTTATGGGGCCATCTCTGTGTTCCCTCTGCAGATCTGGCAGTGAAGGAGTTGGAAGGTGAGGATTTGGTTCCTAGACCCTGGTTTGTCTTATCAGTCACTCAGTGATGATATTTCTCCCCTTCAACATCAGAAGCCTCCCATGTTTCATCCTGTATCTCCCCAGTGATCAAGAATAACAAGTAGGTCATGTGTATGTACTGTTCCTCTTCATGTAATTGCCATCAGTGCTTCCAGTACTGTCAGGCTCCCAAATATGTTTCTTTAGCCCCTCTGAATCTCAGGCCCACCCCTGGGTACATAGCTCTTTGAGGAAAAACGGTAAGATATGAAATAGACTTCGATTTTAAAAGTATTTTTTAGCTTGCTCAGCCAACTGCAGGGGCCTGGGAGGGGAAGGGAGGAGGAACAGAGCAGTACAAGGAATACCTCTGGAAGCAGCTCCAGGCTTCTGATTGTTCTGTCTTAGGCACTGATGAGCTGTCCCTGGGTAGCCCTCCCTCACGAGGAGTAGTGCAGGGTGAGTAGCACAACTGAGATACCCACTTCTGGAGGTGGGGTAGTAAATGGGGGACATCCAAGCCTGTCTATGGTGGCAGCCTGAATGCATCCTACATCCAGCTGCTCCTTGCTCCTGAGGTCTCTCTAAGTACATCAGTTATTCCCCCAAGCCAACTGAAAATATTCCTCAGGGAGGTATGTCTTTCTCCCCTGCAGAGGGCAGGGAGCAGGGGCCCTTGTCTTGCCATTTCCCTCCCTGTGAGCATTCAGGTGGCTTGTTCTCCCCAGCAGGGAAGGGAGGCAGCTGAGGGTGTGCTGTCTGACTGCTCACAGGCCTGTGCTCTTCCCTCCCCAGGCAGTCCCAGCCCTCGGTGGTGCCATGCCATGTGCCTCAGTGACCTGGGGACAGCTGTTCTCATTGGTGGAGAAGGTGTCAATCAACAGTCCTGCAGGGATGCTCTCTGGAAGCTGGAAATTGGTGGGGACTTTGTGAAAAGCAATGGGGACAGTGGGACTCAAGGATAGCTCATGCAGATGGGAGGGGGTACTTGGGCATCTGTGCATATAGAGGGGACAGCAAAGGCATCACATCTGGCATGTCACCAGGCTGAGCTGACAGCATAGAGTGCCTTATGAGACTCTGGGATTATACTTGAGAGCACTCTAGGAGCTAAGGCAGAAGTTCTGCAAAGAGTTGGAATTTTAAGGGGTAAAAGCAACAGTGCAGTTTGCAGTCTGTGTGTGGTGACTGGTGGGCAAGTGTGAGATACAATTCCAGTGCCTTGTGTCTTTCTGCACCTCACTGGTCTTCTCTTTCAACTTGCTATTCCCCATCATTCCTTACAGAAACCATTCTGTATGAGTTCCCTCTAGCTCCGAATCAAAGGAGAGGAGGAAGCAAAGGGAGCAACATTTTGAGTGAAGATTTTATGGCATACTCTTTAAATCTAGAGCGATCAAGGACATTTTTGAACTCCCACACTGTGTCTGCTGTTGTTCCCACAGACAGTGATTTATGGCTTCCAGTGGGTCTCCAGCTACAGAATGCCATGCCATCGTGCTTGCATGGTCACACAGCCACCTACGACCCTGACACCAAGCGGATCTACATCTTTGGGGGCATAAGGGAGGACAAAGACTACAGCAGCATTTACATTCTGGACACAGTCACCTGGAGATGGCTCTTTGTGGCTGTGAGTACTGCATCTCTTCCAAGACAAAAGTGCAGGAGGAGTGGCAGGTTCTGCCTGAATGTGACAGTCCATGTGCACGTGTCTTTAGTCCAGTGGTCTTGGTCCACTGTTGGTGCAGGCTGTCTGAGATGCATAGCTGGGTTTGACAGGTATTAGGAGGCTGTGTTGAAAAGCCACATGCTGAACAGAAACCAGGAGCTGTGCCTACAATGAATGAAGCAAAGGGAAAAAATGGCTGCTGCAGAGGGCTCTGCCTGACCAAGCTCAATGGTGGGAGGTACTGTACAAGTAGTGGAGGGAAATGGCCTCTCATTTTATATGGTGTAATTGAGGGCAGCACCAGATGCTGAGGTGCAGAGCCAGTCTTCTCAAATCAGGAACTGCCCTGAGTACAGCAGAATTCTGAGCCCTTGTCAGCATGGGACTGTCTCTTTCCTGGTAAAGCACAAAATGGCTTTTACAGAGTAAGCCTGGATGAGATCTTTCTGTTCCCTGACATCTTCTGAGAAAGGTGTGGGAGGCGGACTTCCTTTTCTTATCAGAGCATTCTGGTGCAAAGAATGCAAAGAATGTACTGTCTGCCTGTGCAGCAAAGATCTGGCAGGGGAGCCAATAAAGTGAAAATTGAGACTTTTCAAACTCATTGCATGATGTGAGCCCCTTTCCTATGGGTCATGCAGCAAATAATGCACTTCTTGTAACAAATACATATTAAATCTTTCTAGGCTAAAGGGAGGATACCAGTGCTCGCCTACCACAGTGCAACTATCTACAACAAGGAGCTCTTTGTTTTTGGAGGAACTTTCCCCAGAAAGGCATCGCTGGCAGTTGCACCCTGCAGCAATATGCTCTATGTCTTCAATCCAGAGCATGAAATTTGGTACCAGCCCATTTCAGAAGGGGAGAAGCCTCTTCCTAGGCTTGGGTGAGAGTGCTTTAATTCCAGCTATCCAAAATAGTGCAGGAAACCTCTGCTTATCTTCCCTCCCACACCCGTGTGATTTCTTAAATATTAGGTGATTGCTCTCCACCATGTATTCTTTAAGATAGGGCTATGTTTAGAGCAATGGATTTTCAGTACCTCCTGTTGTGAATCCTGATGGGATTTTGTCCCAGGTGTAGACTGAAGCTATGGCAGCCCAGTAGAAGAGGCCAAGGCTAAAATGGAAGTTTTGAGAACTTGCTGAAGAGGTTCTATTAATTTGCTTGCTCTCTGCCCAGGCACTCAGCTACTCTATTGAAAAACAAGCTGGTGATTTTTGGGGGTCAGAGGACTTCTGTCTACCTCAGTGACATGCACATTCTGGATCTGGGTAAGAAAGGCTGTGCCTCTAAAAGGTCTGTTCCAAGACAGGGACTTGGGAGTGAGGTGTGCTTAATGGGAAAATAGCAAGAGTATTATACAAACTCCTGACTAGGCAATGGACATGAAAAACTAGGGGTTAAAAAAAAACCTTTCTGGGGCAATAAGGGAGGGAAAGAAGAAAAAACAACGGTTTTTTTGGAAGAAGTTGGGTAACAGATAAGGCAGAGGCACTGTTGATGTGGCAGAGTATCTAAGTTTTTGTCTAGTTATGAGGCTGAGGTTCTTGGACATTTCACCTGCCTTTTCTCTGTCTGTCAGGTTTCATGGAGTACACATCAGTCCCCCTCCTGGCAGGACAGCCTTCTGCACGTAGGTAAGATTCTCTTGCAGACCCAGGAGCTATCTTCTGTAATTTCTCTTTGAAGTCAGGTTTAAACAGTACTTGTGATCAGACCCAGCTGCATATCTCTGTTCCACTAGTCAAAATACAGTGGATCTTCTCTCCACTGTGGGGCCAGGAGTTCCTGTGCTGTTGGTGCCTGTATGGTGTGCAGGGATATTCTGTAGTCTTCTTGAAATCTGTCTTTCAGGCTAGGGTAAGGTTTCTGCTGTGTGCTAGTAAACTGTATGGCCTGCTGTTTGGTCTTCACAGTGCCTGGACAGGTGAAGACAGGTGGTGTGCCACACAGAGGAAGAAACTCCTGTACTGGGACTATGTTGTTCCTAAAGGGATAGAATTGCTCACTAGAACAACGATCTAAATCATTGCAGAGCCTAGCTACCCTGCTATCTCACCCCACAGAGCAAAGCATAGGAGTTTTGATAGCTCCTTCTGAGATAATGAATTGCTATTCAGGCCTGACTGTGGCCTGACCTGCAGAGCAAACATCTCTTTTAGGGTTATTCTGTAAGTCAGGGCAGAGAGAAGCAGAAGTCAACTTTCTTCCTGCAGCTTAAGCCCCCAGCCTCCTAATCAAGTCTGCCAATCCCTGCCCATTGCTGATTGAGGCCACCCCAGCAGGTTTTATTGCAGTCACCTTTTGACTTTGCTTTGGTCACAGCTTTCATGCAGCTCTGGCTGTGTCGGACCAGAAGGTTCTGATCAGCGGAGGCTGCAATGCCAGAGGAGCCTTGCAAGATGCCTTTGTCTTCCACCTAGGTGAGTGACTCTCCTGCCCTGTTTTGATAGGTCTGGGGCTGCAGTGGTGTTTCTGAACACCTAGCCTAGTCCGTTTGTCTCATCCCTTGCACTAGGAATGGGCTTGTTAGTATTGATATCCCCTTTCCACTTCAGACACTCTTTCATGGAGCACAGTGATCCACCACGACCTCTGCTCCGTTCCCCGAGCTGGCCACACACTGCTTGACCTGACTCCTGCCCACCTGATGGATATGGACAAGGAGAACAAAGAGGAGCAGAAGCTGCACATGGTGTTGGTCTTTGGGGGCTCCAACTGTGCTGGGACCTTTTATAACAGCACGCTCAAGATCCAGCTGGATCTAGGATAATGCATGATTCACAGAATGAGCCTGAGCAGCAAGGCTCTTCACCAGCCTAGATACACACATGGATGGCAATAAATGAGTCCAAGCAACTTGGCAGTCCAGGTATCTGTATGTAGGTGAATGGCACCTTGGTACAAGAGACTGGGTCTGTAAGGTCTGAATGCCATGGGTATTGTTTTACTAGGGTACCTGTACACAGTATCTGGGCTCAGGTGCCAAAACATTCAGTGGGATCTGAGCTGACTCTGCACAAGAACACAGACAAAGGTTATGGGTTCCTTTCTTGCCCTACAGGTTTTTAGCTGGAATTCCCAGGGTGCTTTCAGCTTTGTGGGTGACTTAGATGTTTGGTTTCATTTGGGATGAGTGAAATGGTATTTATTGCTGCTATTTTACAGTAAAAGCACAGGCAGGGTTCTGGTTTGGAGGGAATCTGGGGTGGAATTTCCTTGGGCAATAGTCTGCAGCTGAAGGCTAGGAAACCACCTAGAGCAGTTTCTGAGGATGGAAAAAAGAAGAAAACATAATTTTCATTGTAAGGAAGAGAGCTGGTTGTGCCTTGCTGTCTAAGGCACCATCAGCTAGCTTTGCTCTAGGCAGAGCTTTTATAAAATCCATGTGACTGCTCTTATTATTGCAAGGGGGGTGACAGAGCTGCCAACTTGGCTCTTTCAAGACCCCAACAAGGGTTAAGCTATCTTCCATCAGAGATTAGATCTGATTGTTTATATCCATGGAGCTGATGACTGTGCTGTGGCTCTGAGGCAGCTCCAAGGATAAGCACACTGTGTATACTCATTCCCTGATGCTCTTTCTGTAGATGGTAGAAAGAAGTAGCCCCTGTGGGGAACAGAGAATTGACTCAATGCCTCACAGTTGTTTGTGGTCACATTCCCCAACCCAAAGCCATACAGAGGGAACTTCTGATCATTATGGATACTTCTGCTTTAATCTGCTTCATGGAGATAGACTGCATAGAAAAAACTAGTAGCTGCACGTATTCCAGCACAGGCATAGCTCCTATAAGTCATCCACACTATTTCCAGGTCCTCTGTCCTTCCCACCCAGATGAAAGGGAAGGCACTGGCACTAAAGTCCTACTCATCCTGTAGGTGTTGTCTTCTTTATCATGGCAGCTTTGTGGATTTAATGAGCAGAAAGGCTTCAAGCTCGCAGCTCTGCAGGAGTATCTGGCTGCCGGGAAGGGTGGCTTGTTTTGAAGGCCTCTAACTCCAAGAGAGCTTTATTTATTCTGGTTATTGTGGGATATGGACCCATGTCCACTTTGAATCTGTAAAAGGAAAAGAATTTGTGAAGTGCTAAGAGTTGGAGAGGCAGTGCAGCAGTGAGCAGAAGTGCAGAGCAGTGTGATAGGCCTGCCTAGTATGGGAGAATCTCACAGGCATGTACACTAACAGAAAAGGTTCATCCCTGTAGGTTTACAAACAAATGCTAGAGAGATTAATCAGTGCCTGGATAGGTTGTAAAGTCTCCTTCTCTTAGAGATAGTCAAAACCAAGCTGGATGCAGTCCTGTGCCACATCCTCTAGCAGGGAAATTGGACTGGGTGACCTCCAGAATTCCCTTCCAACCCCAAACTCATTCTGTGATTGTGTGATTTTCACCAGATTTTTACATGATGTGCAGCACAAAGTAAGAAGACACTGCTTTTCCTGGGAATCATGCAGCCTACTTGTATGGGTTTGAGGCTTTAAATAAAATCTAAAAGATTAATCTTTTCCCTGTATGCAGTGTAAGAATAAAGAAAACAGGGACAGAGAACATGGAGTGTGGGCAACCTCAGCTTTTCTAAGGTCATAGATCAGGTTTCCCCAGGGGCCTCTAAGAGGAGACCACAATTCACTACTTCCAAAAGAGACAGTATTTATGAAGTAGGAAAACTTGTGGAGAGAAGACACGTAAGTGGACAGGGCAGGCAGGAGGAATACTTTCTAACAGGCATAAGGAGCAGCAGAAGTAAGCTCTGACAGCCCAGCATAAGTAGATGTGTTGAAGAATATCTCAAACTTAGCCTTAATTACCTTTCAGCATTGGCAACTTGAGGCACTAAACACAGATCAGCCATGGAAACCTGCAAATATAGCAGAGAAAAGAGGTTAGAACAACTCAGAGCCTGTCCCCTCACACTTCCCAGTGGTGGCAGACTTTAAGACCAGGACAGAAATTATTTTATCAGCCAGTACAGAGGAGTTGTCATGATGATCGAATTATTTAATTCAGCATTAATACTACAGCAACAGTACAAGAAAAAGAACTTCATTGCAGTTACTAAGAGAAGCCATAAGATTTTAGGGAGCTTTATATTTACCAGCTGATCATTATGACCTCAAGGACACTGTGCTTCTATGGCAACTACCTCTAAGCAAACACATCTGCTGGCAAGCTGCAGAGGGAGGTGATGGAGGGAGAGGGGTGTTTGCATGGCTGGAAAAAGTTAAATAAATTTTGCTTGTTTGCACTGCAGGAGTATAAAGCAGGTCCTGCCAACATCAAGACTTGATATGTGATAGGGCCTCTGTACACAGGCTCAGAGACTTGCAATCTGAAAGGAAGACTTAATGGCAGTGCTGCTGGCTGCCTGTCTGCACAGACAGAGGCAGCTGCTCCCACCCTGCTCCCCAGGTCACAAAGCCCTGGGTGCCTCTCAAAGCACATGTTATTCTCCAACATTAGATCTTGTAAGTAGCTTTTGCCTATCAAGGGCTCCATAAGGCTGCTGCTATACAATTCTCTGCATCCCAGAATAATGCAGGAGCCTTCCTTTTTTTCTAAGGCTTTTATAGGAAAGATCTTTTGCCTGGCAGCAGAACCAATAAATGGAAAAGGCCTAGTTTGGTAAGGGTCAGAACAGCTTTTATGTGAGCTCTGTGAAATCTGTCTATCTTAAAACTGGATGATCAGAGCAGAAAAATACAAGTTGGCTAAAGGTTCCATAGAACAGAGCTAACAACTGAACCAAGTTTCTTGAGCCAAGCTTTGTCTGTATGACAGGACATGTTGAAGTCCAAATCCCATAAAGATGAAATGATAGATCCTCTTTTTCCACATCCTGTAGTACCAGCCAGATCCTAGATACAGCTGCAGAATCTGGCCACCAGCAGGTTATAGGCAGGGACAAGTAAACATCTCCTTAACTCTCTGCCAGTCAGTAATGGCCTAAGTAGCATCCATGCAGCTGTTCTTTGTTATGGTGAAGGCACTGCATGTAATTCTAGGAACTGGATGGGGTTGTGCTCTTGTCTCCTCAGCTAATTTTCTTTCCTTATTTAGGGGAAGGTACTGGGCTTTTCAGTCCTGCAGTAGCACACAGGGCTCTCTCAGATACTTACTTCATCCCCCACACAGTAGCGTCCAGCAGTGTGCTGCAGAACCTGCTCCAGTGCTGTTAAGAGAGGTGGTACACTGGAATGAGTCAATAGAAAGGGACACCAAACACTTTCCAGACTGGGAATTAAGTACAAGGACATTTTAACCCTGAGCAGAATATGAAAAAGGAGTATTTTGGGAGAAACTAGAAGGAATGGAAATCTTACTATAGTTATGGGAGTCTTTAGGGTTCTTCAGCTTTTTTGGACCCAGGGTGCTTTCAGCTGCTTTAGACAATACACTTGAAATACTATGAGGTTAATGTAGAAATGCGTGATTGGGGAGGGGGAAAATGCAAAGGTTCAGTCAGTTTGTGTCTGTCAGGAAGCGAAGATGGGCCTGTCATTGTGGCACATGGGGGAAAGGATTTTGAGGGAACCAAAAGCACTTTATTTCTCTCAAAAAGGCAAAGAAATACTCTGCTACTTGCTAAACTCTGTGGGAGTTTGCTATTAGGTGTCCAATTACAAAAACCTATCTATGTATATGAAGAACTTTAGAAGTGCTGTGAGCCCTGGTGCTTCAGAATGAATCAACTGCTGCAATGTGCAGGATGGCATCAGGTTCCCCTCTTCCATGTGCACATCTTTGCTCTGAGATCCTGGGGAGCTACCAGTCCTGGACAAGTGAGTCTGGGCAGGGAGAGCACTGTCTCTGCCAGCAAGGCAGGACCCCAGCACACCAGCCTAGGAATATCTGTGGTTCCACTTGAAAAAGATGAGTAGAATGCCAGGGTGTAGCATTTTGTAAGGTCAGGTGAAATACTGATCATTTTGGATGTGGGATGTACCTTGAAAGCCAGACATGATACAGTTCTGAGCCCATTCCATCTTTTTCTCCCCCATTTGTTTCAGGACATTCAGGTTCTGTGAAGGCAAAGCAATCTCTAGGTTAGATAACTACTGCTGGCAGGATCTTACCCACTGTGTCATCCAGTGGAGGAGAGGGGAGATGAGGGGTTGCCAAGGCTGGACCCCTGAGTTTAGGGGTGGCCTGAACTCAGTTGCCAAGGCTGGCCTGCATTCACTTGGTTGGGTCAGCCCTGACCTCACCTGCACTGAATCATGCACCCTGCTGTATCCTTCTCTTGACACTACCCTTCTGTAACAGTTGCCAGGGTATCCCTCTTCCCTTTCAGCTCCTCAATTCTCTTCTTCCTAAAACATCCTAGACTCAGCAGTAAAACCATATGGATTCAGTTTTTTCTGGAAAGAACCCTGGGATGCTATAGTATTTGCTTTTTTGGAAATACTGTATTGGTGCCATTGGTATCTAGATCAGGCAGAGGTTAAGCAGATTTTATCTGCTAGCACACCAGTCTGAAATTCTGCCACCTGGTTGGCTGGCAACAATTTAAGGAGACTGAGAAATTTCAGAGACAGAAATTCTTTCTGATTTTCTCACTTGCATGGATCTGACATGGCAGTACCTGGAGTGGCTGAATGCCAGAGGCAATGTGATCAGCGATCATTCTGACTTGGGCTCTCTTCTTTGGATCTTGGGGCAGGAGCCTGGGGTTAGGATGTGTCTCTTCTAGGTAATTAATTATAGCTAGCTGTAATGAACAGAGATAATGGAAGGTTATTGCAGAGCCAAGGAAAACTTCACATCCTGGACACCTGGGAAAGGGGAGCTGATCCAA